ATATATATATATATATATATACATTTATATATATGTATATATATATATATGTATATTAGTAAGGTCAGGGATACAAATAAACAAAAGGAAATAGACAAGATAAATAAAAAAGGAGACAGAGTAAATAAATAAACAAAAGGAGACAGAGTAAATAAATAAACAAAAGGAGACAGAGTAAATAAATAAACAAAAGGAGACTAAAAAAGGCCCCCTAACGGTCTCTATTAAAGGAGAGGAGAAACGAAATGCATGCAGCAGCAGCAGCAAGCTGCCTCGTTGCTTTGCTGCAGTTTAGAGACAGCTGGAGTAGTGTGGGGTTTGTCTAACTGAACATACATACAGCAAACGGTTGGCTGTCTCTTTCTGCTGTCTGTCTCTTTTCTTATCAAAAGAAGAGACAGGAGACAGAAGGCAGGAGACACACACAGAGACTAGAACTAAAACCAGAAACACCAGCAGCAGCAGCAGCAGCAGCAGCAGCAGCAGCAGCAAGCTGGAGAAGTAAAAAGGAGACACCATGGAGACTGAAAGAGATGGGTGCAGACCGCCCTCCCCAAAGCAACTTTAAAAAGTAGAGGGCTCTTGCTGCTGATGCTGCTGCTGATGCTGATGCTGCTGCTGCTGCTGCTGCTGATGCTGCGGCTGCTGCTCGGCAGCGCAACTGTCTTCTCAGAGAGAGCAGCAGCCTCTGTCTCTGTCTTGATGTTAAGACGTCGCTGGTTTGCTGCAGAGGCAGCAGCAAAGGAGACAGCTAAAGACGCAGAGGCAGCCTGCAGCAGCAGCATTTGCTGCAGCAGCAGCTGCTGCAGCAAGGAAGGAGACCGCTGCTGTCTGGTCTTTATCCTTCCCCTGCATTGGCTAATGCCTCGTTATGCCTCGAGCGCTCGCTGCTGCTGCAGGAGACAGCAAAGGAGACACTTTAATATCTGTCTCCTTTCTTTTAATGAAGGAGACACTTTAATACCTGTCTCCTTTCTTTTAATGAAGGAGACAGTTTATTATATCGCTCATTCATTTTCATTAATGCTGCTGAAACCCCCTGGACAACTCGCTGTCTCCAC